TATCCATATTTTAACAAACTGTTGGTGGTCTTGATTGCAGGTGGTTCTTGTTTTCATTAATCTTCAGATATTTTGTGTTCCGGGTAAGGAAAAATAAAGACACTGGGGAAATTAGCTGTCAAGTTTAGGCGTAAGGGGAGTTAGCAAGTTATGCGATTTCCAAGGGAAGCAGGTTTTAGCGGGGACCTAGAGGCTATGCATCCGCTGTGGCGAGGCGGAACCCAGTGCCTGTGTACTGAGGCATTAATGTGTTACAGGCTCCCTTGGCACTGGAGCCTCAGCTGGCACACACCATCGCCACTCTTGCGTTTTCAGCTTACTAGGGAAATCCTTTGTTTTCAGCATCTCACGTAGCAAGTAAAACAAGTCTCAGTGTGGGGGTTCCTACCGCTACTGTTCAGATCTTCCTCTCTACTCCACGTGGATTCGGCTTCAGCAAGATCACTGGGTCCAGTTCTGAGTACCACTTTTTAGGAAAGATGTGAGCAAATTGGACAAAGAGAAACAAATGTGATTAAAGGCCTAAGAAAGCTTACCTGTGAGGGGGGGTTGAAACAACTGAATTTGTTTAGTATGGAGAAGACTGAAGGGAACTTGATAAGTTTTCAAGGCAATGAAAGGGTGTTACAAGGAAGAGGGAGGAGAATTGTTCTTGTTAACCTTTCAAGATAGTCCAAGAAGCAGTGGGCTCAAATTGCAGCAAGGGAGGTTTAGGTTGGACATTAGGAGAAACTTCCAGCATGTCAGGGTGGCCAAACACTGGAATAAATTGCCCAGGCAGGTTGTCGAGTCTTCATCATTGGGTTTGAAAGAGAAAATAAGACAAACTGTCAGGGATGGTCTAAACCAGAGGTGGATAATTATTTTTGATTGGGGGCCACTCCAAGAATTAGGTAAGTGGCCAGAGACGTCACTTTTCTAAGGGTATGTCTACACTTGCACTCTCTTTCGAGAGAAGGATGCAAATGAAGGTATTTGAAATTGCAAATGAAGCCGGGATTTAAATATCCCACACTTCATTTGCATAATCTTGTTACGGCACTATTTCGAAATAACAGACGCTGTTAAGACGCGGTTATTTCGCGAGAAAACCCTTCTCTCGAAATAACCCTTATTCCTCATACAATGAGGTGTACCAGTTATTTCAAAATAGTGCCATAATGCGATTATGCAAATGAAGTGCAGGATATTTAAATCCTGGCTTCATTTGCAATTTCGAATGTCTTCATTTGCATCCCTCTCTCGAAAGAGGGTGCAAGTGTAGACATACCCTCATTGATTAATGGAGGGAAAGCAGAGTCTGGGATGGAAGCTGGGTACAGGAGAGAGCCCTGGGTAGGGGATTGGAGTTCAGGAGTGGTCTGAGATTTGGGAGGTAGTTTGAATGAAGTAGGGGGATGTGACCTGATGCAGGGTCTGGGAGGGGCTTAGGTTCAGTAGAAGATTCTGACCTGGGGGAGGGATATAGGAGGATATGCAGGGCATGGGAGCAAATCGTGTCCAGGGCAGAGGGGTAGGAGGGAGTGTAGAGGGTTGGATTATGACCTGGGTCAGAATGGAATTGTCACCTGGGGAGAGGTGCAGGAAGGAGTGCAGAGGGTTTGGGTTATGACCTGGGGCAGAGAATTGGGGTTGGGTGCCAGACTACAGGCTCTGGCCAAGAGGCACTTCCATTTACTGGAAAATAAAACTTTTATGAGTCCATTGTCTTGTGGCGTTTATCTCTGGATTTTAAAATAGTAAGTAACGTGTTAATGTAGACTTTAGCCTTAACATTTGCCCAAAGCAGGTTATGGAGTTTTTCTTGTGAATTGTAGTTCTAATAGCCTACAGATTTTTTTTTTAGATTATAGAAATGGGAATTAAAATTAAAATAAATCATCACTTTAAATGCAGCCAAGAACCCCATGTTAGTCGTTGGAACTTACGTATTTATATATTTTGTGTTTTAGGAAATCTATTCCTTTTCTAACTGAATTCAATAATTCTAGACAAGGTTGTTGCTTTCGCACAGTAATGTGTGAGAGGAGAGAGAGTTGTTTTCCTCGGTCTCATGACCTACTTTACTGAGCAGCTGATGTACTATTAAAACTCGCTAGCTTGTGGAGTAGTTTATCAGATGACATTTTAAATCTTTAGAAATTGCATGTATTCAGGCTAAAATGTGACTTTTGTAACTCTTTGCACCCATCAGTAAGTAGTAAGCAGCCTTGTTTGGAGAAACCATTTTGTATAATTTAGCATGGCGCTAAAGCAAACTAGAACATTTATGTAATTCTATGTAAGCCTGAAATTAGGACAGATGTTAGTAACCTAGATGTTAGAAGATGTTTGAGCTGTGGCCATGCACACAGGACACATGGTAGCGCTCTACGTTCCTCATGTATATATTAGCTGTACATTGTCTGTGTTCTACTGGATACTTGAAGAACTTCACTTAGATCTTTAAACATTAATTTGTCTAAAATTAATTATCTTTTGCTTTTTAAATCAATTCTCCAGTGTATGGGTTTCCTACTTAATGCAGAGAGAACTAAAAATGATGCCTGTCAAATTCTCTTTATCTGAGATTCTTTTATAGTCTGCAAAGCAGTGATGAAATATATCCTAGAGCTGAAAGTGTATTACAAACTTATAGCTTTTGCTAACTGTCATTCATTCTTCAGAGTTTCTAAAAAGCTATGATGAAGCTTATTTTTTTTCCTTTCACCTTTGTGATATTGTCTGATCAGACACGGCACGAATTGCATACCCTGCCACAGACGATACAGGCGTCTTTGCAGAGTAATACGTAGTTTGGGGAGTTGTAAATGGACACCCATCCTGGTTTGGGTAGTTTTCCAGAAATGCACGGTCTAGAAGCCCTTTTCAGAGAAATGTCCTGGATTCTCTGGATCCAGGACTAAGTCTGAAGCAGAAGTGCAATTGGGCCAGTGTGGGTCTCTACCACGTACTGGTAAGTAGTAGCTGCTGGGAGTAGTCTATGCATGTTCAACATTAAAATGCTTGGAGGGCAGCACTTTAACATTGCTGCCCTGATAGTCCACCTGCCACATTGTCAGTAAGTTCCAGCAACACTGCTGGACCAGAAGGGCCACCAACAGGTGAGGGAGGAGCAAAAGGGGCAACTGCCCTGGGGCCTGGTGATTTAGAAGAGGCTGGGGCTCCCAGCTACTTCTGCCGCAGCCCTACTGCTCCTGTGGTGGCCATAAATGGCTGGCTGGGGGAGTGTGGTCTCCAGCCACACCCCACCTTGCCCAGGAGCCCAGCTGCTCCAGGCTGCATATCGGTAAGTCTCTTCTTGAAGATGTGAGGTAGTGTAACATTGATGCTCAAAGTATCTGTTCTAGTCTGAAAGGCTGTGAATGCTGCTCAGTTTCCTCCACAGTCATCTTCAGAGAGACAACCCCTGTCGGTCATTTGTCTTCCAAATCTGGTAAGGAGCTAGAGCCACAGGTCAGTTCTGATTGTGTTTCTACATTGTCAAGGGTTGACAGAGCCTCCTCCAATCCAAACAATAGATCCCGTGTGCCGGAGGGGGGGGGGTCTTTGTAAACAGCTTCCCTCCAGAGATTGTTTTAAGGCAGGGACAGACCATCTGGCCCCCCAAACATTCTTCCATCCTGCAACTGGAGGGAAATGTCCCTTGGCGCAATGGGTTCTTAGGCAGGCTGCCTGCCTGCTATGGTCCCAGCCATGCTGCTCCCAGAAATGGCCTGGCTGCCTGCTACTGGCAAACGCATCTCTGCCCACCCCTTGGGAGTACGAGGCAGCAGGTGTCCGCGTTGCCCCTACTCCCAGCACCACCCTCTGTTCCCATTGGCTGGAAACCAGCCTATGGGAGCTTCGGGGGTGGTGCATGTGGGCATGGGCAGCACACAGAGAGCCAGCATTCTGGAAATGGTGAGCGTCTGCTCTCTGCAAAAAGGAGTCTCTAATTTAAAGTGTCTCAAGTCGGCTTCCGAAAAACTTGAGGCACCCAAAATCACTTTGTCACTTCTGGAAAACGTGTTAGTCTTTTAGTAAAGTCTTCAGGGGGGATTTGAAACTATTCCAGCATATCTCATTTTGTCAGTGATTTACAAGAAATCACACTTTGGCGAAAAGGCTCTTTAACTCTCTGCTGGTGGGCACCTTACACAGTTTGGGAGGAAGGCATATTCCTAAGAGGGACTTATTTCAAGAATGACAACATATCAAGGCATTCTCATTATTTCCACTGGACAAACTATACACTGGATGCTTGGCTTGCATGGAACTAAAAGGAGAATAGATCCCCTGGACAGTTACGGAAGGATGGAAAGTTGCTAGATACTCCTTAAAGATGCCACCACTACAACATTTTCACCTCTGGATCTCAAGCTCCCAGGACAAGATGGAGCTCTAAGCTCTAAGAATTGTTTTACTTTCTGACACAGTAATAATTCCAGCAACTCAGGGACCTCCTCCAACACTTGGTCATGGGGGTTTAATCGTTGGGCACTCTTCTTTGCATTCTAGTTCCCTTGTCTGAAATCCAGGTCTTTTGGGTGAGGTACAAGCACAGATGGTGAAGGGAGCTGAACTGACTGTAGCAACAATGGATATTTTAAGGAAAAGTTCAAATGCGACAATGTCACGGAGGAAAAAAGTTGTTAAATATGTTCTCAGAAATGTGTTTTTAGTTAACTGTTACCATCAAGTCAGCAGAAGAAGCTCAGAATAGCACAGTCTGTTAACCTTGTTAAAACACTAACTTTTATTTTTGGTGGTCTTTGTTTTAAAAAAGATGTAGGTCATAATTTTCAATCCTGGATTCCTAAATATATATGTAAGAGCTGAACTTCAGGCAAACGTCACTGAAAAAACGTGGCCTTAGAATCCAAAGGAGTTTTTTCTATCCCATTTTTGGGCATAGGATCTTGGTATTTATTTTTAATGGTTTTATGAAAATGTCTGTGAAAACCGAAATCTATTTGTTTTTAACTGATTTTAAATGTTCCATTTGTTTTTCTCGCCAGGGAGACTGTAGCTATGAACTGGAAATTCAACCTTATTTAAATATGAACGATATTAAAACCTCAGATGCTCAAAGGACTAAATGTCTTTCCACCAGCAACTCCAAGGCTCAGAAGGGTTTTTCATCCAGAAAAAACGTGGCACAAGTATCAAAAGCAAAACTTGGTTCATATTCCTTAAGCGAGCTTGATACAGAGTGTATCTCACTGTTTAAAGCAACTAACTTCAAGAGCACTAAAAGAACATCAGCATTAAATTTGGAAGTTCCTGTGCTGTGTACAGAAGTTAACATTTCAGATTCTTTTTCAACTGCAGAAGATCCCACTTCTGCATGTACTGGACAAAAAAGTCTACCAGATGATCATGCAGAAAATATGACATTTGGCTCAAATAAATGTAGTGCCCCAATTGATCTCAGTGGAAATGCTACTAGTTGTGTAAGTGAAGTAGTAAAGGAATATAAATCTGTAAATAAAGCCTGTAGCTCACTAGAGAGAAACTGTGTAGATTCTGGGTACAGCAGCCTCACAGATGAGAAATCTCCAGTTTCATCTAGCTTGTTCTACCTACCAGAATCAGAGTTGGATTCATTTGCACTCAAGCCTCCAACTGAGGACCCTTCATTTATAAAAATATTAACAAATGTAAAAAGGCTTTTGTCGCAGTCTCCCCCACCTTTGAATAAACTCGATAATTATGAAGGATTGGAGAGAACCAGAGAAGATAAAATCGAACAGACTGTTTCTTTTCAAAAAGTTATTTCCAACACATTCCTAGAGGGATTGCAGGGCAAAACCTGTGACACTTTCACTGAGTTTCTGAACCCATCACTTCCCCCTCAGAAATGTTCGGAATTAAATGTCCCCAGTAAATTGTGTTCCTCTCTAAGTAGTTGTCCTTCTGAACCGAGCTTCCTTTCTGAGGCTTTTGTTGGCAAGATAAACAATGGTCTAAGCTGGGGTGGCATCTTCAGTTGTGACAGTGGTGAGCGCACAGAAATTCAAAAGGAAAACCTAACAATGGTAGATCATGTTCTGACAAATAGTCCTTCAGACAGAAATTCAGTTGATGGGTATAAAAAGGATTCTGAAAAGTTCCAGAAAAATATGGCCACTGACCAAGATGAGAGCGTAAATTTATTTGAAGATGAACATTTTTCTGATGCTAACAATGCAAGCCTTTCTAAGTACAATTGCGAACAATTTTTAGTGGCATCAGTTTTGTGTGATAAAGATATTGCACCAAGTGATGGACAGATTTCTGAACGGCATATTTCAGATGAGTGCTTTGATGCAAACCCCAGAGAATCATTAATAAACTGTGGAACCAAAACTTTGAAAGTATCTGAAGATTTGGGCATTGTCAACAAACCATTTCTGGATAATGAAGATCTTTATGACTGTTCTCAGGAATTGTTCTCTGTTAACTTTGATCTGGGGTTTTCTATCCAAGAGTCTGAGGAAGAAATCTTAGAACAAACAGATATGCATACTAGTAGTATTCATAATTCCGATGGTCTCTTGGGCATTTGTGCAGATGTTAAACCTTCTAGAGTTGAAACTGAGTTATCCAACAGTAACTTGAGACATACATCTCCACCAAAACTGAAAGATGAAAGCACTACAAGAACAAACTGTTCTACACCATTGTCCTCACCAAATCAGAACTCCACTCACGCAAAACTTACTGAAAACTATATCCCACTCATTTCTCCTTTGAAGCAAGCAGAAGAAAAAGAACATGGGTCATATGACTCGTTGGCTTCTACATTTTCCACACCGAAAGGTAGAAAGGTTATGAATGTAAAAGTCCTCAAAAGAATTTCTATGAATGCTTTTTCTAGAGTCATGCAGGAAATTCCCCAGGTGCTGCCTCCAAAAAAAGTTTTGCTAAATTCAGCCTTTGATACAGAAGACCTCCCCTCAGGAAAGACTGAAAACCTGGACCATAGACAGCTGCATGTTTCCCAGACGTTTCCTGTTGAAGGTAATGTGTCAGTTAAAGAGTTGCTCATTCTTCCACTAAAAAACATCCTTCTGTAGAATTCAGTAAGTTATGAATCCTTGACCTTTAGGGTGTGACCTCAGGTGGATGGGGGAAATCACAGCCTCTAGATTTCTGGAGGGCCCAATCTTTGTGGCTTATGTGGGAGGGTGGGGTGCCCAAAACTCTTGCTTTAATAATAGGGTCACAGTATGGATAATTCAGATTAGCAAAGCAGCAGCTAATTAACTCAATAAGTTATTGCCTCATCACCCTTGAGCTTTCATACATAGCAGAATTATTCTTTGTTCACGAAGGGCTCCTTTGGATTACAGCCGAGGGTGCTTTTTCTTGGCATCATTCAGACTCAGCCTGAGTTATGCAGTCTGTGAGAAGCGGCAGTCAGAAAAGCAAACAATGTTAGGAATAATTTTAAAAGGGATATAGAATAAGACAGAATATCTTACTGTCTCTATATATAACCATGGTACGCCCACATCTTGAATACTGAGTACAGATGTGGTCCCCTTGTCTCAAAAAAGATATATTGGTATCGGAAAAGGTTCAGAGAAGGGCAGCAAAAATCATGAGGGATTTGGAATGGCTCCCATTTGGAGAGTGATTAAAAAGACTGGGACTTTTCATCTTCAAAAAGAGGACACTGAGAGGATATGATAGAGGATATGATAGAGAACAGGTTAGATAGACATCTGTCAGGGATGGTGTAGACGGAGCTTGGTCCTGCCTTGAGGGTGGGGGGCTGGACTCGATGACCTCTCAAGGTCCCTTCCAGTCCTATGATTCTATGATTCCATAAAATCATGACGGGTGTGGAAAAAGTGAGTAAGGAAAAGTTATTTACTTATTCCCACAAAATAAGAACTAGGGGTCAACCAAATGAAATTAATAGGCACAAGGTTTAAAACAAACAAATGGATGTTTTTTTTCATGCAGTGGTGCATAGTCAATCTGTGGAACTCCTTGCCAGAGGATGTACTGAAGGCCAGGACTTTAACAAAAAAGAGCTAGATAAATTAATGGAGGTTAGGTCCATCAATGGTTATTAGCCAAGATGGATAGGAATGGTGTCCTTAACCTCTGTTTGTCTGGAAATGGATGATAGTAAGGGGATCATGTGAGGGTTCCCTGTTCTGTTCACTTCCTGTGGGGCATCTGGCATTGGCTACTGTCGGCAGACAGGATATTAGGCTACATGGACTTTGGTCTGACCCAATATGGCCATTCTTATGTTCTATAAATATAGGGAATATGGCATCTTTCAGAATACATCAAATGGTGTAATTCCTTATAGTTCACTAGAAAATTAATATACAGCCTACTGCAGGTTTGGTAAGAATAATTTTTAGTCTGTTCTACTTCTTTTTAGAGTGTGTGGTAAGAAAACAAGAATGTGGCAACTAATCAATAAATAAAAACGTAACTTGGCCCCTAGTAATATAGGGTAATTCCCTTCACTTCCATTTTTTGCACTTACATTATTCCCTCCACTCCATCTTCTACGCTGCAGGGGAAACTATTACAGTACAAAGAAAAGGAGATTGACAGTGTGTATCAGTAGGAAAATACTTGTTTGGGTTACCGGGGCTAACTGGAACAATACTTACTACGTCTGTCAATAAATAATTATGTTTTCAGTCCTCATTCAAAGCTAAATAGATTTTGATTGTTCAGTCAGAGCTATATTGTGCTGTGGTGAATGTTTTCTTACAGTTATCTGTTTGTCACTCCTCAGTAGGAAGTAGCAGCGAAAGTGAAGAAGAGATTGTTTTCCAAAGGAGACATAAGAAAAAAGGAAACGTTTTGAAATCTCCTGATGTGAGTCATTCAGAAGAAGAAAGTTACGTTAAATGTCAAAGCAAAACTCTTTTCTAGAATCTGTAATGACATTTTAATTTATTTCTGTTTACCAAGGTTCAGAATAACAGTGATTTTGAATCACCAGTTCATGCTGTCAAGAAGCGTAGGCATCCAGTTAACACAGTAAGTAAATGTTTGAAGAAGACGTAAAGAAAATGTCTAAAAAACAAAACATTTGTCATCTTTTTTTAAAATGGCAAACACTTTCCCAATCGCTATAAAACCTCTCCAGCTTTTAAAAAAGTTCTGTTTTAGTGTACTGTAAAGGATACTGTCTCACTAACAGAAAGCATGCAGAATACTGCTGCTTGTGACCATACAGACTTGAGAACTGGGCAGCCATAGATGTACTTGTGGGGCGGGGGTGGGGAGGATAAACTACAACAGACACACAGAAAGGGGGTGGCACAATCAAATTTGTTTGAGAACTACAGACTTAGATAATAGCGGCCATTAAAAAATAACAGCTGAGTAATTATGAATGGTTGCATGACCTATTCTTTTCCTTGTTTGTAACATACTCTAGTCAGAATCCTCTAGTGATGAGGGCATAGATTTTCACAAGAAATCCAACAAGAATGCACATTGTGACATGAGCCATAACAGGAAACAACTAAAAGGTGTCAAAAGGCAAAAGAGTAATGACTTTATATTCAAGGTAAGAGCTTTACATGTTGCTGTTAGTGTGGTTGTATAGATTTTAAAGGCGTGGGATAGCTTGCGTTTCAATGATACACTAGTTAATTATTAGGTTTTCAGAATTATATAGACAAATCTACTGTGTGTGTAAGATTTTAAAACTTAATGAACAGAAATTCTTTTGTGACTTTTCTTAAGCAGCTTAATCCCTCCCCCCCCCTTCCTTGTTTACATGTATATATTCCCCTTTGTTCTGAATACAGATAACACAATCGGGGTCCGGTTTGAGAAACTAGGCAGTGCACTCAAGCTGAAGACAGTAAAAGTAAACCAAGAGCTTACATGGGGAATGTAAATGTCCATGTTTTCTAACTTGTCTCTCTTAAATAGTCTAACTGGGGGAAATAATTTAAAAATAAAAATGGCATTAAGGAGCATTCTCACACCGAGACCATGTGACTTTGAATTGCATGCCACGGAATCTTGAACTCTGCCCTATACATCTCTGTGGCATGTTATGGCCCGGGGGTATCACTGGTCGACTGTGGTTGTGTCTACACTGTAGCTTATGTCCGCATCATTTGACATGCCAGGGGGTGAATAAACCCACCTCCTTGAGGGTATGTCTACACTGCCACCCTGGTTTGAACTATGGTGGCTAATGTAGGCATTCGAAGTTGCAAATGAAGCCCGGGATTTAAATATTCCAGGCTTCATTTGCACCTTGCCGGACGCTGCCATTTTTAAATCCCCGTTAGTTAGCACAGAGTAGGTAGTTCGAATTAGGCTCTCTACCTTCTCCTCTCTACCGTTACTCCTCGTGGAACGAGGGTGGCAGTGCAGACATACCCTCAACGCTGTGGAGGAGGACCTCGATGCACTGAAAACACAGCGACAGTCTGAAATAAATTAAAAGTGAAAATTGCACATCATGAGACCCGAAAAAGGTACATTGTCTCCTCAGGGTGAGACTTGCCAGGGACTTGTGCGTAACCAGGGCCTAGCCCATTGAAGGGATTAGAAAACACTGGCAGTTTAAAGTTAATCCGCTCCTACCTAGGCAGCTAACGTGAAGGACCCTGAATAGGTATCATGTAACCACAACAAGCTGGAGGAACAATGCTTGTTGCATTAAGGACAATCTGCAAGTGAAGGAGATGCATTGGTATGAGCCTTGCTAGGAGGGAAATACCCTAATCGAGCCGCCTGAGCACCAGGGCACGCTTTGCTGCTTCTGGGTCGTCCCAGGGTACATACTGATGCCCCGCCTGCATGGAGGGTTAAAATGTCACACGCAGTCCAGCACTTGGGACGGGCAGGATTGAAGTGATAGTGAGGTTCTTAACGCTGTTGGCTACGTAGACTGAATCTCCTTGGTGCGTGGCACTCAAAGGCCATGAGGTCATCCTCGCCCTAGAGAGCTGTTTGCCACCAGCACACTCTTTGTGGGGACAGAGAGGCTGTGCAGAGGGAAGAGCAGAAATACGGGGGCTGATGCATCCAGCTGGTACCATCATCTACGCATTTCTGCAGGTCTGAGGCTGAAGGCGCAGAGTCTCTGCAGCATAAAGGGTCCTGCTGTATGTAATCTGTGGGCTGATGAAATTCCAGCCCATGCGTCATGACTAGGGCTTGGGCGGTTAGGCCTTCTGCTCCACACCGGGGCAGTCAGAGACCAAGAACAGCTTTGAGGGTCAGAGTCAGAGATAAGGGTCAGAGCCGGGAGCCCATTGCTACAGCTGGCTGGGCCGTCCGTCCTGTTGCCTGGACGCTTCCTGCAACTCCTCCTGGGCTTGCATAGGGAGTTTGCACAAGTGAGGAGTCACTGGGGAAGCTGTCAGTCCCAGCCATTCCAGGGTTCTTCCTGTCGTCTTTATGGTCACAGGGTCTGTGTGACAATGCGCAGGCCCTATCCTGGCTGGTGGCATTGGCACATAAATAGCAGATGCCCTGCACCCCGCAGGCTGCACCCCGTGGGGAGAAGCAATCTCACCAGGAGCTGTCTTGTAGAGAAACACGGCCAGGCTTTCCAAAAGACTCACTGTCACCATCGCGCTCTCTGTTTGCATTGGCTATGGAGGCCTATCTATGGTCGGGCCAGAACACAGACTCGACTGTCCAAGCAAGCCAGTAGTGCTCTGTGTGAAGAGGGGTGCAGAGAGGGACGGTGTGTCACAGATCCCCTTTCCGTCAGGTGATGTGTAGAATACTGAGCCTTGGTGCCAAGATCCTCACGTTAGGTCACTTTGCCCAGAGCTGAAACGATGAATAATTTGGCCTATCTAAGGCAAGCATGGAATGGGGGAAAATAACAGGTGCTCTAGAATCCATATCTGAACTTGGTGGTGCTAGTGGGTTTGCTGCAGACCAACAGTATTTTGTGAGTAAACTCAGTAGCAAAATGTTAAAATAAAACACTGCAAATGCAGTTCTGTGCTTTAAAACAGGCCAGTGCCTGGGTAATTTAGATGTGATGTTTGCAGAACTTTGCCATCACCTCCTGATTATCCTAACTCGGCACGGGACCACATGCTGTCTGCTTTCAGCATGCGAGTCTTTGGCTGCTCCTTTCTAGCCTCAGTCTCAGCGCTTTGACTGTACTCTTTCACGTCTTACTCTCCCTTGGATTTCAGCATCTGACACATGAAGTCTGCTGTCCTCAGAGAGCTCTGGATCTCCTAAATGCATGAACTGATTTTATCTACAGTATCCGTCCCTCTGATGCACACTGCTGTAAATTACTCACTTGCTTGTATTTTCATAGAGTGCAGCCAGGCAGTTTTAAGATGCAGAAGCTG